AATTATTTTCTTTATTACTTTCATTTCTCTTTTCATTTAATTTAATCAAGACACTACGATTGTCAACATTGCACATTAGAATGTTACATGAAAAATCAATTTCATTATATTTAATGTATATACATACATACATACATATATATATATATATATATATATATATATATACATATATACATATGTGTGTGTGTGTGTGTGTGTACACACAAAAATAATTTTGTTGTTTGTTCTGTGTGCAATATAAATATATTTTTTTATATCTTATATTTTATATTATGTCTTACCTTCAGAAATACACGTAACAAATCCATCTTTAACCAAAATATTGCCTTCTTTGTCTCGTTTTATAAAAGCGATGTCATTATCGATTTCCCTTGCACAATTATTTTCTAAATATAACAAATAAAAAAAGCAATGACGTACAAAAATAATATATAAATAAGTAATAAAAATAAAAGTAAATAAAAGTACATAATAAAGAAAAGTATACATTATATTATTTATAAGATATATTATTAAAAATTTACTCATTAAATGGATGTTCTATAATACTTTTACGTATATTATAATAATGTTTACTTTTATTGGTTTAGGGTTTAGGTTAAATATTTTTGTTACTTACCCGCCATATTGAACCGCACCGTTGCACTACCTCAAGACCTGGGGCAGCCAGCAGAGATGCCAGATTCTGAACACTTGGGCTGTGTTTCAAAATTCACTGCCAGCGCTAGAGATCTATAGTTTAAGTCACATATATTATACAATTTTAGCACTGGCAGCGTGCTGGCAGTAAATTTGGAACACAGCCTTGGTAGCATGCGGTAGCATGGAGGGGATGCGCACACAACCTCAGATCGTGTACGTGTGCGATCGCGCCCGAAGTCTCGAGCGCGATCGCACATGCTACCGCATGCTACCAAGTGTTCAGAATCTGGCATCTCTGGCAGCCAGTACAGTGAACTGACTGACCTAAGCACCACTGCACTGCTAAAAAAACAGCAAACATGACGTCATTTCCGTCAAAAAAAACGTTTCAGTGTACACTTCTTGAACTCGTGCAAGTAGTGCAGAGAAATAAAACAAACCTTATAAGTATATATAGTCTAAGGGCGCGAGGCACTACCGTGCCTCACAGTTGCAAACTCGAGCCGGCTAGCACCGAGAGCACCGAGGTGTTGGGAGCCACTGGGAACACGCACACAAGCGAGAACCGCCGTCCGTGTGCGTGGAACATACAC